GACGCATTGAACGCAATCTGGTTTTGTTGAGTCCACGTGAAGATGTTATTTAGGTCTTTCTGAAAATCTGCGTTAAGTGTACCAATTCGTACGAACTTTGCGTCGTCTGCGTATAGAAAGCTGGTGGAATGTTTACATACACTTGGTAGGTCGTTAATCATGACAAGAAAAAACAATGGCCCGAGTATTGATCCTTGAGGAACACCGCTTGTGACATAGAATGATTGGGACAGACAGTTTTTGATTTTGACACATTGTGTTCTATTTGTCAGGTAGTTATAAATTAGTTTTAAAATTTTGCCTCTGATTCCCAGCGAGTAGAGCTTATCAATCAGAGTACCGTGATCTACTTTGTCAAAAGCTTTCTCGAAATCGGTATATATTACGTCTACTTCATTTTTGCTTATAGCTGAATATACGTTATCAAGATAGAGCAGCATTTGGATGATCCCTGACCTTTTCGCGCGAAATCCTAATTGGTTGTTGTGCAAGGTTCTAGCTGTTTATATAGATCGATGAAAAGAACTTTTTCGAAGATTTTGCTGGCAATATTAAGTAGTGATATTAGTCTGTAGTTACTTATCGAGGCCTTGCTTCCTTTCTTTTTGAATATTGGGCTGACAATAGAGTGTTTCCATTGATCAGGGAAACAACAGGTCTGGACTGCTTTATATATGATATGGTAGAGAGAGGGCGTTAAAGATTCACTACAACGCTTAAATAAAACAGGAGGTAGTAGATCGGGACCTCTCAACTTACTTAGATCTAGATCATTACACAGTTTGGCAATCAGATTCCTGTCTGGTTCTATTTTATGAATTATTTGTTTAACTGAGTGCTCTTGTTTTTCAAGACAGGATGGTTGAGAAGAGATTATAAATGCTGAGTTAAAAAACTTGGCGAATAGATTAGCTTGTTCTGGCAAGGTTTTTGCAACTGAATTATCAAGTTTCATGACGGAAGGTAGTTCTGAGTTACGGAACTTTCTATAGTATTTTAAAAAGGGCTTTAGTATCACGCGAGTTAGACAGATGTTGTTCGTATTCGCTTCTGTTATTCTCTACGGCGGTTTGTACCTTTTCATTCATTGCAAACACCGAGGCACATTGTGAACCTTTTTGTTTGCGTAATGTTGACAGACGTTTCATTGAGTTTTACGTCTCAGGAGTTATCCAGGGAGGAAGATTTTGTCTATGTTGAGTTCTACGCGGGATGAATTTTGGCAGAAAGCTATGAATCCATTCGTACCAAAGTTCGACTATTTTTGTAACATTTGACCAGCAGTAAGGTGACAAGGTGTTGATTGAAAACGCCTCGTTTAAACCGTTGAAGTCAGCTTTGCAATAGCTATAGAAACTGGTTTTACTAAATGTGGAGTTTTTCTCGAGTTCCTTTATGCGGATTTTTGAGTTAATAGGTTTGTGATCAGATTTTGGTGCAGTAAATACGTCGAGTGGTAGGGTGTCGATTATTTCAACTTGGTTGCTAACAAGGACTAAGTCAAGTATATTAGCGTTCGTTGTTTTGAAATGAACAGTTTGAGTTAAGCTTAATTTATCTATTTTGTCAAGTATACATTGATGGAGCGGTTCTGAGGTTTGAATGGACCAGTCAATTGAAGAAAGATTAAAGTCTCCGTTTATTATACGATGATTTGCATTGCAGTTTGACAAGAAGTCCATTAGCTGACAAATGCGGAAGGGCTCCAGATAATATTTGCTGTTAGGAGGGGGAGGGAAATAGCATGTGGCAATTAGTAATGTGCCTTCGGAAGATTCCCAGATTATAGCGGTGCAATAACCTTGAAATTGGTCAGGAAATGAGATTTCATAGCATTTTAGTGTAGTTTGTTGCAATAAGGACCCCACCGTGGGCTGTTTTTTCATTTTGTTTGGTGTTTCTGTCAGAACGAAAGATATTGAAGCCAGGGAGGAATAGTTCGGAGTCGCTGATGTTAATTGTGAGCCATGTTTCGCTTAAACAGATGATGTCAAAGTTGTTAGTGAAGACAAAATTTGATAGAGATGTGCGCCTACTTGAGTTCAATAAGCTTCGGGTATTGAAAGTAAGAATCGAATAATCGGTAAATTGGTCAGTTTCGTAACTCAAAGAAAGTCAACATTCACTCAAGTCTACTACTGCTCCATCTAGGTAGAGTTCTAAATTACGAACTTTTAATCGGCTAGGATCTGTGTTTTCTTCGATCAGACTTCTTCTTTTTTTTCAAGATTTTGCGTTCTTGTTCGTGCTCGGTCTCATTCAACGATTTGCTGATGTACACTTTGAATTTTTCGTCTGCGGTACCATCGTATTGCTTCAGTCTGAAGGCACTCGCAAGTACCTTGTATGCCGTCAATACATCCAAAACACTTGAATCTACGACGCAAATTGCCGACCCACAAAAAAACCTACAATGAAGCAACTATGCCGACAAAATGGAAGCAGAAAAACAAAACGACGACATTTAAATATTTACCGGAACATTTTATAATTTCATACATGCTGAAATAAAATAAAGTCCGGACGTGACTCCAACCGCAAACCTAAGAGTACAGAGACAACCGGTTTCCTCTAGGCAAGTGGGAAGCACTCTCGATGTTGATAAGTTTCACCAAAAAGTAACTTCAATTTCAACTTCACATGTAATATAATCAGTTTATGGGAAAGAAACTAGTTCCCGATTAGAAGAAAATTGCTTTCGCAAGTGCAAACAATGGAACAAAACATTCCGAAACACGCTTCAGCTTAAATATTCAAGCTTGAAAAACGAATAGGCACCAAAACGATGATCTCAGCGCTTAAGCTTACATGCACAGCATAGCTATGCTAATATGGAATTTAGCTTGGACAGGCAGAGCCAACTCATTGTCTAAACAAAAAATACATCTTCAGCATGATAACAAATTCCGAAACCAAAAGCATAATTAGAAGGTGATTTAATTTAAAACTTTGGGAAATTGAGCTTGTTAGCAGCTGAAATGTCCAGAAGGTTTAAGAGAAGTTGTTTACATGAAAAATTCTACCCATTATAAGACACTTGTTTTGCAAGTACAACTATGATAATATTTAGCTTGTTTAATGTTTGTTATTCTTGTTCCGCTCAGCGACTGAACCAATGATAGTCGAAATTTGTAGTTAAATATCTAGTGCGTAATAGTCAAATTTTGAAGGCTCTTCTTCTTTTTCCCGACCTCACATATGCATCATTTTTATGTTACAAGAAGGAATTAAGAATGGTTAAATTTCAAAAAAAAAAAATTACCAAAGAAATCCTTCCGTTTAGTTAAGGTATGTGCACATGTCGGTGTTAAATGTGCACATGTCACATGTGCACATGTCACATTTTCTAACAATCGAACACTAAGAACAGAAAAATCACTTCAAAAGCTGAAAATTCCGGGCATTCCTACTAAAAAAAATTTCGGGCATTCCTACTTCACCTTTGTTTTCATAGGGAGACAAACCTTCAGCATAATCGCAAGACATGAAGTGAATCTAAAATAGTGTGGTTAACATAAAAAAATATTATTAATTATTAGCGTTATTGATCAAACAAAAATTTTTTGGAGTAATTTTCGATAAAAAATAAATTTCAAACGTTTTCCCAACTATGTTAATCGTCAGGAACTTTACAATAAATCTATGTAACAGTCGCCTACTTAAGTCACATATGAGGTTACTCTGGTCCACTTCTTATTTGTCTCTGCTTTGTTTGCAATCGCTCTGGTTCCTGTTCAGGATGTGACAGCTCTACTCGTGTTTTATATATATCTGGAAATTGCGAATAGCAATTTCCCGCTGCTTTTTTTCACTACTTTCCCGCGATAGTTCTCGATGTTGATAAGTTTCACCAAAAAGTAACTTCAATTTCAACTTCACATGTAATATAATCAGTTTATGGGAAAGAAACTAGTTCCCGATTAGAAGAAAATTGCTTTCGCAAGTGCAAACAATGGAACAAAACATTCCGAAACACGCTTCAGCTTAAATATTCAAGCTTGAAAAACGAATAGGCACCAAAACGATGATCTCAGCGCTTAAGCTTACATGCACAGCATAGCTATGCTAATATAGAATTTAGCTTGGACATGCAGAGCCAACTCATTGTCTAAACAAAAAATACATCTTCAGCATGATAACAAATTCCGAAACCAAAAGCATAATTAGAAGGTGATTTAATTTAAAACTTTGGGAAATTGAGCTTGTTAGCAGCTGAAATGTCCAGAAGGTTTAAGAGAAGTTGTTTACATGAAAAATTCTACCCATTATAAGACACTTGTTTTGCAAGTACAACTATGATAATATTTAGCTTGTTTAATGTTTGTTATTCTTGTTCCGCTCAGCGACTGAACCAATGATAGTCGAAATTTGTAGTTAAATATCTAGTGCGTAATAGTCAAATTTTGAAGGCTCTTCTTCTTTTTCCCGACCTCACATATGCATCATTTTTATGTTACAAGAAGGAATTAAGAATGGTTAAATTTCAAAAAAAAAAAAATTACCAAAGAAATCCTTCCGTTTAGTTAAGGTATGTGCACATGTCGGTGTTAAATGTGCACATGTCACATGTGCACATGTCACATTTTCTAACAATCGAACACTAAGAACAGAAAAATCACTTCAAAAGCTGAAAATTCGCGGGTCAATTATTATTTAATAATAGTCAATGATTAATGAAGATATGCCAACAAACTCAAAAAACGTGGATAATGACTTCTATGGTTGTTTTGCAGTGTTTTGGTGTCATGGTTAGAACAACACATAATTTTTTTGATGAAAATCTATAACACCAAATCATTTTGAATATCGAGGTTTATAGCACCTCCACTTGAGTAAAAAACTAAATTAAGATCGTTTTGTCCACTTCTGTGGCTATCTAACAATTAGGCCAAAGAAAAACAACATAAACCACATTATACTGATCCAAAGATCAAGGACGCTCAATTTTATGAATTTTAAATACTGTTCGTTTTAATTACAGCTTTTCATTTCAAAACTCGAAAATATAAATTTCATGTTCAATGACAACAAGACTCAAAATATCAAATTTCAGCTAACAACACTAACAGATATGTTTAAGAAAGAAGTCAAATAACATTTTAGTACACTAGTCTATTTCAGCAAAGTGTCTAATTAATCTTCTAAGTCCTATCTACTGTATTGCAAATCAACTTACGTCTAGATTTAATTCGTCGTTAACTATTTTCATAACTTCATCCACTTTTCCAAATATTTGTAGGTCTGCAAATTTATCTAACGGTGTTCGCTGGAGATTAACAATAACTAATTTTCCTCTATTCTTTTTCGTCAACTTAGGAAACTCGTTGCAAGGTAAAATTTGGAGTGAACTTCCGAGACATATAGACAATTCAGCTTTTTTTGAATTTGTAACAGCATTATTCAGCTCTTTGTTTGGTAATTCGTCTTCCCAATCCAGAATCGTGTCTTTCATTTTACCGCGACATCGTAACTTTTCCGAATTTCCGCTGAAAAATGGGCACTTATTTCCGGTAAACTTCAATCCAACAGTCGGTACACTAGTTTCTCTTATAAATTTCCGCCTGCATTTATGACACTGTTCGATGAAAACGTTGCCGTGCATATCAGCGATCACCTCAGTTGATGTACCAGCTTTTAAATGCAGACCGTCAATATTTTGATTGACGACAAAATTAACATAGTTCAATTGGACAAGCTTATTTATAGCTTTGTGGGTATACGTTGGACGAGCAGTATCGAAAGAAACATTAACTGACGGCTTTTCACCAAGCTTTTCGAGTGTCCACACTCCTTTGGGCCCCCTAAAATCAGGGATACCCGAAGATGTTGAGATTCCTGCTCCCGTGTGCAAAACCGTATAGCTGCTTTCTTTAATCATGGCGGCAAGCCGTCTTGCTTTCTTATTAACTGAATCAGTTTCGTCATAAATTTCGGGCATTCCTACTTCACCTTTGTTTTCATAGGGAGACAAACCTTCAGCATAATCGCAAGACATGAAGTGAATCTAAAATAGTGTGGTTAACATAAAAAAATATTATTAATTATTAGCGTTATTGATCAAACAAAAATTTTTTGGAGTAATTTTCGATAAAAAATAAATTTCAAACGTTTTCCCAACTATGTTAATCGTCAGGAACTTTACAATAAATCTATGTAACAGTCGCCTACTTAAGTCACATATGAGGTTACTCTGGTCCACTTCTTATTTGTCTCTGCTTTGTTTGCAATCGCTCTGGTTCCTGTTCAGGATGTGACAGCTCTACTCGTGTTTTATATATATCTGGAAATTGCGAATAGCAATTTCCCGCTGCTTTTTTTCACTACTTTCCCGCGATAGTTCTTCGCTGGTTCTGATCTTGCATTTCTGAGATTTTCAGTTTTGGCGAGAAAGTTGAGCATGGCAAGCTCAATTTGAATTTTTGAAAATTTACATTTCACCCCAAAATTACGTTGTCCGTATTACTCCAGGTCAAACTTCCAAATATGGCCGACTGGCACACACTCCCCGGACTCAAGATCAAAGTCCTCATCGCGTGTTGCCGTGTGCCAGTGAGTCCCCAGAATGCTGAGTGTTGCTCAAGAAACAGTGCCAGTGGTCATTTACAGAAGTTTGCAGCAGATTTTAACTTTATCTACACCTCAAAATTCACAACCATTTAAAATTGTCACACTATCGCTGAACAGCAATCAAAATTTTCATATACCTGCTCCTTAGATTTCCGCTTTTGAAGCTAATGATCAAAATTTTTTTGTCCTATCTAATCGGAAAATTGTCATGCAGCATTTGATTGGTATAATAATTATAGCAATATTTTTGTAACATTCGCCCGGAAGATACATATCGACGGAAAATAAAACTAAGTCCTAAGACGACTGGCTAACGTCTAAACAGAGCTTTACATGTTTTTAACCGTCTCTACCAAGCCAGTACTTTCGGTGGTCTTTCTAACATCGGGTCGACAAGAAAAACGTTATTGCTTTCGGCTTCGGTCAAAACACTCAAATTAACTAGATTACATGCAGAAATAGTGAGCTCATGGCTGGGTCTCAGTATCCCCAGACCACGAGGTTACTCCTAAAAACAGGGCTACTAATACTTATTGAATTATTATTGTTTTTGTTCAGTAGATAAAAATCATCATCTCCATCGAAGATGGATCAACCCTTTCCCCCTACTCCTAGCTTCTCATCCTAGCAAAATGAATTCAGATGTTAATGAAATTCAACTCAGGACATGACAGGGAAGCTAAAAATTTATATAAAACACTATCAGTTCCAGTCCCGAGACCCCTCCGGATTCCTGAATCCGGGGAAATAAGGCTCTTATTCTCCTTCCGGAAGGCTGGTTTTCCACCCTTCACCGTTGTCTGCAACGGCCTTGCAACTATTGTAGCGACACAATAGTTGCAACTCGGAGCGGTCTCTGCTACTTCTGCAATTCGTCGTTGTTTTTCAAGCACAATTCTCGTTGTTCGCGCTATCGCAACTAATGTTGTTGTGTTTTTCTTCCGGTCTTCTGCCAAAATGGCCGTTTCTGATGTTTCTCAGAAATATGACGTCATACTTCGAATTTTTAAAATTTCAAAATACCAGAATATCTTGACCTTCACCGTTTGACTAATCGTCCCAATAACGTTGTTAATCACTTAAAACCGTCAATTCGGAAGGTTCGCTGTTAAAAACTCGAATATGCTGAATCTGCATTTTGGTCGATTCTGGTCGAATGTCACATACTCCCCGGACAGTCCGGTCAATGTCCTCATTGAATCTCGCAATGTTCGTAAAATCGGTACAGTGTCATCGAACAGAATTTACAAAATGCACGAAATTACTTTTATCCACGTCATATCGACTCACTGCAGAGCATAAATGGCATCATACTACATCACTATAGCCTTCAAATTCTTTCATTAATCTGCACATTGAGGATATGACCTAAGATAAAAACATCTTTTCTGACTCCCAATGTCAGTATCCTGATTAAAAACTTTTTCTCCTAGATTTAAAAGGTGTTGGTTTGCAGGACAGTCCTGCCAACCAACAAGCTAAAATTATCCTACTATGCTTCTTCCCTTCGGAAATCTTGCTTGTTATTGTCCTGAATATTAAAACTAAGAAACTCTGTGGTTAGAAAGAACAATAAAACAATCTCCCTCTTCGAGAGATTACCCAAGCCTTTCATGTCACCACAAAGTGATCAGTTCTCCTAGCTGATTAAAAACAGTCATGCAGGCTGGAATATTTAAATATACTCTTTCACTCAAGCCTTTCTAAATAAATAGTAAGTAAGTGTCTCTAAAGCCACTTAACTAAAATCAAAATGCAAATTTATAAATGCAACAAATTCAAAACTCAGCTAAATGTTTCAGTTTTCAATTACAACTTGGTTGCTTAGTTTCTCACTTGAGTTTTTCCACACACATAAAACAATTCTGAGTTTTAATTTCTTCTTCTTCGTCACTCCTTTGTTTTCTTCTTTTTCATCGTTTAGAAGTTCTAAAACTTCTAAATTCTTCTAATTTCGTCTCTTTTTGCATCTCGTTTTTCGGCCATTCGTCAATGTTCCATCTCTTCCTCATTCCTCATGTGATATTGACTGTGCACTTTCAGTTTATGTGTCTTGCAACACATCATTAGCTATTCTGACGCTGTTGGAAGCAGTCCTCCAACACTTCTGCTCTTCTACCCTCTGTTTGCAACAAGGTAGGGGATCCACGTTAGATTCTCTGTTCCTGCAGAAGCTGTTGTGGAGACACAACGTCACATTTCTCTCCAAATCTTCCTTCAACATCTCTGCTTTTTCCTTTCCACTACGTTCACTTGTCCTGGAAATTCTTTTCCAAGCGGTGGTCACTGCATTCCGATCAGTCACGAAAGCTCGCTTGAAAGCTCCTGCTCCAATGTCCAGCTGATATTCACTGTACACTCTGCCGTGCTTCGACATATGCTTCTTAGCATATTCATACAACCATGCAGTCATGTTAGCTCTGAACCATGGCATCAATCGTTTTCTTGCCCAAATCTTCTTCACTTACATCGGAATGTTTAGAATCTTGCACATTGTCTCAAAAAGATCTAAATCTTTTAGACAATTCATTTTCCGCAACTGTTCTCTCGTTGCATTCTCGTTGCATCCGCAACTGTTCACTGTTCTCTGTCTATTGTTTTCCTTCACATGAGCTTCCAGCCATTGTATCGCCATCATAACTCCCATTATCACTATTGTTATGGGCTGTGATGAGTCTGGTAAACCCATGGAGAGCAGCTCTCCAGAGTCCCAGATCAACACCAGATTACTACGCTTGGGATACCACCAGGTCTGCAGCAGGCAGTGGCAGGGAAACTCGTCATGTGTCAACATGATGCTCCTCCAATTACGTTTTCCCGAAGCTTCCAGTAATGGTTCCACTTCCATCATCACTCGGTGGACTTCATCGTTCTAGTCTACTGTATTGTAATCTGTAACAGTTGATCCTCTCTGTTTCTGTCTCTCAAAGTCACTGAAGTTCCCACTCACGTATCCCATGAACTTCTTTCCCAGTATCGATTCCAACTCCTCCTTGGTTCTCTCTGGAACTGCTGAGAACACCTTACATAGCAACTCGTAAGATTTCTCGGACATTCTCGTTAGTCTCACACACTTTGGCACTGAGAAGGCTTGATCCACGATCGTTTTCGTACTCTTTACATCCACAGCTACAAAATGTACTGGGTATCTGCTCTTGCACATTGGAGCCAATGACGAGCCCACCAAATATCGTGCTCCTGATGGTCTACAATGAGTCTCACTGTGTCTGATGTTCATTTCCGCCTCAATCGCTTCCCTCCATTTTCCTATGTGTTTCTGCTCGGTCTGCGGAACTCCTGGGAATACTTCTACACTGATGGCAGTGACCATCGCATGTCTCTGTTCTACATTCAATAGTGACTCTAAAGAACTAAACATGCTGTAGAATCCTAGTGCAGTCACTAGATTCACCTCGGTTCCTCCATGGCAATCCACTATCAGTTCCGTTTCCGTTCTTGCTTTTATCACGACATTCCCAAACAATACCGTCAATTGCTTGTGTTGTTTCTCTAGGGTCTTCACACAGTTCAGACCTCCACAAACGTGACCTTCCAGTCCACAGACTTCAGCCAGACAGCTACCAGGTTTGACCCAGTCTTCTGGTCCCCAGCCAGGCAACTCCACTTTATCTTCTCCGTTGCTCCTAGAGGCCGTTATCATCACATTATATATGATGTTAAGTTCACGCAGGTTACAGTCTGCATTCAGCTCCCTCTGCACGTCTTGTGTCGCCCGTAATATCGAGTCAGCGTTGGGACTAGGACACCATGATGGCCTCATCAATTCCCACACTGCCATCAAGCTCGTTCTCAGTAATTCATCTGAGAATCCCAACCCAAACTCCACTCTTCTGTCGGATTTTGGTACGGAAGGTGCAGTCACCTCTTCTTCCAGGACCAGTCCCAATTTGGTCTGCGGATTTATAGCGCTCTTAATTGTTACAATTCTCGACGTCCAGAATCTTAGTAACACTGCCTGTTCGTAATCGAAGAAGCAATCGCGTATGTCTTCACTCAGAAAAGGGTTGTACGCTATCCCTATGATTCCGGATACGTAGCTGTACGACTTCTTCTTGATCGGTCCACAGTATTCACTGGATTTCGGCAGTGCCCCCATAGATTCTTTAGTGAGTCTCAGCTCCTTGTTTGAGAATCTCCTGATTTCGTCTATCTTTCTCATGGGCTCTAACTCCTCGGGTTTTTTCATATTCACCCTCATCGGTTTGCTTTGCTGCATATCCAGCAGTGCTAGCAAGAGTAGGGCTTTCGCTCGCTCATCGCCTTCCCTCAGCATATTAACACAGGTGTTCAATGCCGTTACTAAAATCTGCTCTATCATGAATCGAATGAAACAGAGAGCGTCTCTCCGCCTCGCACACGCTACCGCTCCTCCTCTTGGATTATCAGATCCCTCAGGTTCGTCATAAGGAAAAC